TATTAGATATATATTTCTTTACAACGAAAGGTATGAAAATACAGCGCTGAATACACTGGCACATAACATTTCTCTCTTGGAAAATCTTCTTCTGCGATTAGCTAAACAGATATCGCACACACTCGTGCCAATCAAGGTTAAACAAATATATTTAATCTTTTTATTTGTTCAGCTGCTGAGGATCGAGATACGCATGCTAATTGATTCATTTAATTGAAACATTTTTATATTTCACAAACACAATTTATCTGATGAAATATGAACACTTGAAGGATATTTTTATCAAATAAAATATGCGAAATATATCTTTAACTACATACACACTCAATCAAACCGAGTCTGCAATTTCCATGTAATAGTGTTGTGATTAATGCTTCCGACGGATCACACTTTATACAGGTGTTTATACGTGTAAAATATATTTTGCGCATCTAACTAAGTAAGTGTGTTAAAAAAATCTAATTCATATTGCACTATTTGAGAAAAAATAGAGTTATCATTACTAATGAACACTTTTATAAATCAAATTTCCGAAACAAAAGTCTAAATTCATATGTTAATTTTGCCATAGGATTATGTATTATATTTTAAGCTTCATTATAAGAATATAGTTCGAGAGATATGTAGACATTGGACTATTACGAGGTGAATTGGCAGGGAAATCCGCTGATTTTTTAACATCAATTAGACAACATAAAACCATATATTTGATTGTGTTACTGTTTTTGTTGTTTTTGATTGACAAAAGAAATGCCCTTAATTAAAATCTAAGACTGTAGTCTGCAAAGAAAAGGTTTGTTGTTGTAATTTAAAGACTCAATGCACTTAGCATTGACATGTTTTTCCTGATCAATATTGATGCAGTTGTCGGATACTTAGTAACAAAATGTCTGCATAGAGCATATGTACAGAAAATAAACAAATGAAAACATATGAGGTAACCAAACAAACGTTACTACGACAATTCATGGTCATATACATGTCAATGTAATTACACTCACAAAGTTTCAAGCAAAAGCCTAATTGAAAAGCATCTCAAGTTCTTAAATGGGTTTTATATTGATACTACCTTGATGAGCACTGCAGTACTTTGATCTAAATCCAGTCTTATTTAGTCTTAAATAAGCTTTATACAATGGTATTTTGTCAACCATTCCCTCTTTGTTTTAAAGTAAAAGACGGTTCCAACTATAACGCTTTTACTGTCAATTCATCATGTCTGTGGTTTAAAGACTATTATCAAGTTTGCTTTTAAACAAACAGATTTATTCCATCAATGATTTTAAGAAACGCATCGTGCCGTCGTTGATTTTTTAAATGTAAGTTATTTATTTCTGAGGTTTTAATGCTATTGTTAATTTCCTTTTAAAGCTGCATGCCTACAGATGAACCAAAATATTTCAAGAAAATCAAAAAAAGTATTGAGATTTTAAAAAAAGTCAAAAGATTCAAGATAAAAGTAATTATTTCCATGTTATGTGTAATTTATGACCGATTTTGCAGTATTTTCAACATATTTCTATTGCGTTACTAACGCAGTCAGGGCTACTTTAGCATATTTCGACCTCTTTTTGATGAGTAACATGGTTTGTTAGTGTTGTTTGCAATGTGAAAGTTATTTTCTTTGTTCACTTCGCAATATTTTACTTTTTAATACATTTTCAAAATTTTCATGAAAATTAGCATGAATCTGGAGGCGTGCAACTTTAAACAAACTCTCTTGTTTCGAATACTCATAAAAATCTTATGTCTCTTGGGAACTTAAATTGTTTGTCAGATATACTGACCTAAATATCATTTCCAGCAGAAAATTATAGTGCTTTATCGCCTTTACTGTCAAGTTTATGTAACAATTCTTTCACATAATTAAATCCGTTTATTTTTATAACGACCACATACAATAAAATTGTCTGGTATTATAAAGCTAACCATACCACACACTTATCTGGTGAATAATCAATCAATAGGTGGCATGTGATATGTAGTACAAGTACATGCAATGAAATTATGGAAGTCGACCTGTTTTCATAGTGGCTGAATCATGAAACTTTTGCGTTTTCAAGCAAACTGACGTAACAAGAATATAAGAATATAAATGAGATTATTCTAGTATGAAGTTATAAAAAATATAAATTTCTAAACTATGTTGAATACTAAACATATTTATATATATAAAAAAGATTAAAGAAAATACAGTGGCGTTAGCTGATGTAATGTTATTACCACTGAAGTCATACAAGAGTGAGTCCGACATAAATTTGTCTTAACAGTGCAAAACCGTTAGATTACACATTCTTATAAACAGCAACAACAACAACAATAACAAAAAAAAAAAAAAAAAAAAAAAAAAAAAAACAAAAAAAAAAAAAAAAACAACTAAAACTCCCGATCGTAATTTTTGTCAAATAATAGGTAAAAAACTTCTCTCTTTTACATCTTCTAAAATGTCACCAATCAATTTCCAGCAACATACATTCAATATATCAGAATGTATTTTATTACAATGTTTTAATCAGAAAACCGAAAGTCAATAGTGTCTGAGTCTTTTCTTTCATCAAATTTCAGGTCATACACGCTTCTAGAGTTTTAAGCTCGATATTCAGTATATTCATTATTCAAGTCAAATCTTGCAAAAGAATGAATGCATTTGGTAGAAGAATTCAATAGTTAATATCTTCTTTTTTTATCTCTTTCAAAGCTGGGAGCAATATAGACGTGCCTACACATCCCTGTGTCATCAATATTTAGACAGAAAAGCTTGCAAATCCATGAAAACTGTATGTATGATTTATTACAGACGTTAGTAAAGTACACCCATTTATCATTTACTTACCATTGAAATGCTTTTTGTTTTACTATAATGAACAAATATGTTTTATATAATTTAAATATGTATTTATCTAAAATTATGGTGGCATATTTCTGCCACCAGATAACCTGATACCTAACTAGTTAATTAAGAGGTTAACTAGTTACGTAACTAGTTAACCTGATAACTAACTAGTTAATTAAGAGGTTAACTAGTTACGTAACTAGTTAACCTGATACCTAACTAGTTAATTAAGAGGTTAACTAGTTACGTAACTAGTTAACCTGATAACTAACTAGTTAATTAAGAGGTTAACTAGTTACGTAACTAGTTAACCTGATACCTAACTAGTTAATTAAGAGGTTAACTAGTTACGTAACTAGCTAACCTGATACCTAACTAGTTAATTAAGTGGTTAACTAGTTACGTAACTAGTTAACCTCTTAATTAACTTGTTAGTTATATGCCACCATATAAAATATATCAACTACGATTTACAATAACAATTAAAGATTAACAAATTCTTTGGGAGTAATTATAAAATTGTTTATTTGTTCTTTTTAGAAACCATAAGTTTCTACCTCAGTATGTAATCTGGATTTATCGTTTTTATTTCTATGGCAGACATGGCAGATATTGCGGATAGGAAATCAAACCAAAATACAACCTTTATTTATACAATCTAATTGTATATGTTTATTGCACTTTCCCGGGGGAACATATCTTTTTGCCTATAGATATTGTGAATCGATATTAAATTATATTCACCATGCGATACAAACGTGCTGCTTTTCTCATATTTTTATCAAGCATTTAGTATGTAAATGTCTTGAGGGATACAATGTAGTTAGAAACAATATCAAATTTGAACAATTCTTAGCTACACCAGAAGGTAAATTTCGGGACTTTTTTCCATTGATAATATACTTTTTCATGTGAGTCTTTGCAGTTTCAAATAAAAGGCACTGTTTTCTTCCTATTTTCTTTTACATGTTAAAATCTTGGCATGTGTTTGGTTTTAATAACTGTATTATCTTTATGAGTTCATTTTTAATTATTTAATTTAAGGGACAATGTTGAAGACCCTTTTGATTATTGTTTAAAACTATTTATTCTTACATAATGTATTTATAGATATGTAAGAGTTTGATCCATGTTAAAAAATATTTAAAAATACAATTTGTATCATGATCTTATAAGCCCGTGTGGATTGATAGGGTTATTTGATAATGCGGCAATTTTTCCAATATTTGCAGTTTTAAATATGAAATTTCTAAACTCGTAATATGTACCACAATAATATCATGAATTGTGTGTTATTATATAGATGGTGTTGTTCGTACATATTAGATAAATGATATTTATCGTACATTGTCATAGAAATCATCATATCTGAGAAGAATAAAATCCTTTATGTTTCTTTGCAAATCCGACTGCTAGAAGACCGCATCAGTTTTTTGGCAAACATGTCCGATTTGTCACATATAAAAAAAGCTAGACATACGATAAAAGGTCAAGTAAAAAATCAAGTAAAATGTGGTGATCGTCAAGTTATTTGAAAGATTATTGTATTATATTAATGATATATCAATTAATAAATAAAAAATGCAATATTCTTCTCTGCTTCCATGAAATGTTTTAAAAGATAAATAATATCCGCGAAATGATCTGGTACAGATAATGAGGCCATGTGCACTTTCTAATTTCTCTCATATATATCTTTTTATTATACAAGAATTGCCTACTATAATCTATAACTACCATTTACGTTGAAAAACAACTACATATACTTTCTTTACTGTTTGATACAACATATAACCAAAGTTAAGATGTTTTCTCGTCTGATCAGGAAGCCATTTTTTTCTGCACTGCTATCATAAAATTTGAAAATAACTATAATATGTAACTATGTAAAATAACTGGCAGTATTTTTAAATTCACAATTCGGTTGTTTAAAAAAGGCATTGTATTAAAAGTATGTATACGACTAACACCTATCTGAACAATTTCTTAAATAAAGGTTTGTCAAAGCACAGATGAGGCAAACATTTCTATGTAGAAGAACAAATACTGTATTGTTTTTCATAAATTAGTTATAGAATCCAATACAACCTTCATTAAATATCATTTCATCTACATCAAATGATAAACTACTATTTACATAACGCGGAATGTAAAGAACATAATTTACCTGTTTCGTTGCGTAATACCAACAAAGAAAATCAACATCAAAGAATAATCCAAGTTAGTATTTCCTGTTTATATGAAAGCACTATATATTTATAGAAAGATAAATAATTCAAATCCTTTGAAAAGGTATTTCTTTTTTCTTACGTTTCATCGCAAGTTCAAGACTTCAAATAACATACAGATGTTGGTTAAACAACACTACCGCAGCAACATAAATTCTCCAATAGGAAATATAAAGTTAACGTTACTATGGCAACAAATTACTAGGTTGTCGTTATTCCATCAATGCTGGGACAAGAGAAAACGATGGAGAGTTAGACAGAGAGGCAGTGAGACATTGAGAGATGTGTATGTCTGATTCTCTATAAAGATCGTATTGATTTTGTATAGGATATAGGCTATGAAACATCACATTTTGTACTGCAAAATATCTTTTTTGACACGGCTATCTCGGGCATCGGGGGCTAATATATTAACTTTCAGGAAAAAACGTGGATATAACAGAACAATTTGGTTACTAAATTAAGACTTTGTTTTATAGTACACCATTTACAACACATTGTCTCATATTTGAATGACTGCTGTCTTTGTTCTAAACACTTAAAATAATGGTGATCATATATATACATACATACAAGCAGGTTAAAAATGCAAGGAATCGCGAATCAGTCGGGTATTCGAAAAATATTGTTTTCGTGAAATAGACACCTTCCTTAACAATAGAGCTAATATTTATTCTTCTGAGAAAAATAGTCCATATATTGTTTACCCAGTAGGAAACACTGGTTTCGTGGTTTGTATATAAAATATATATAAAGCTTACCAAACAAAGAAAAGGCGACAGCGTGCCCTGTAGGCGCCCCTTTGTGAGGTCTTTTGTCGCCCATTTGATTAAACAACTTGGGGACTTTCTTTTTCCTTTATAAAATGGTGTCGTATAGCTGATTGCACAGGCTAATTAGTCATACATGCTATATTCAAAAAGAATGACAAGTCAACATGTATATACATATATTAAGGTTTTTATTTCATAATGTGAACTATGGAACATGACTTTGATTTATGAATATTATAGTGCAAGATACATGCAGACTGAGCTTATGTCAAAATGATTAATGAGAGTTCTACATGTAACTCTAAAACGCGTGTATTTATATACATTATAAAATGTCCTTATGACAGGTTGTCATTATATATACTATTCTCAAATGTCCAGTGAAGAGTTCGACTTTGGTATTTCACTTGTACACTTGTGTATTTGTATTTGTATATTAAAAGTATGTAACATCCGTGAGTTCTCTCTCCGTTATGCGACAATGGCAAGAACATGTAACATTAAATTCAATAATAACCGCCGTATGAACACATGGTGTGCTACATAATCCTACGATTGAAATTGAATACAAAGAAAAGAGATTACAATGAATTAAGTATTGTAATCGAGAAATACAAAAAAAAAACATGACACCATGACATTTATCTACCTCTTTTATAAATCATCTTTAATTAATGGCATGGCAGTTTCAATAAATCATTATTTCATTTATAATACATAACAATACCGCTACTGATAAAGGCAAATATGCATTTGATGCTGAGCCAAGCTATTTCGTTTTTCATGAAAACATTTTTGACACTACATAGTATGCAGGAAACGGGTGTAACTGGCATATAATGTAATAAAAAAGCCAAAATGACGTGTTTTTTCAGTTAAACAGTTTTCCATTTTACACATGTATAATCTTGTTTTATCAAATGTCATTGATGTTTTCCTGATTTTAATTTATACTCATATAAAGGAGCCGTTTGGTAGCTGAAAGAAGTTGTACCTAATTTAAATTTTATCTCTGTGAAACACCCCATTTACACAAAGCCATCGGTGATTGATCGGTAGTTTTTTTAGCCAAATTATGGAGCGAACCGATGACAACGTATTTAACACTGAAATCACCTATTGGTCACCTGTTATCAACTTATCAACTGCTTTTGGGGAAAGATAAGTTTTACCGGTGAAAAAAAATCGATTGGGATTTTTAAACATGTTTTAAATTCTCGATCGGTAAAAATATTTTACAAATAACCGACAGCAACCTATATCACGAGATATGCAAGCTTTTAATCACCGATATCGCCGATCGGACAAAGATAACCAAATATGAATCACCGGCCATATCTGACGGAAATTGTTTCACGGGGGAGGAAGTGTTACACGAAGGATGGAGTTCTTATGATAACTTGCTTGGAGTTCTTATGATAACTGTCACGGAGTTCCTGGAAAACGTTACGGATTTCTGTGGAAAACTTTTCTATATACTTGGAGAACTCGCCTAAAACATGGTTATTTTTAACTTTAAATGGGGAGTTTGAGGTGCTAAATTAAACTTTGATAATTAAGCTTGCCCTACATATTGTATTATGTTTTAGAAAAAAATATTTTAGTCCATATTTCGTCGCCGTTTAAAAAATCTTGAAGTTTTGAGAAAAATTACCAAATTACTTGCTAATTCGTACATATTGACCTTTTCATTTGTGATATTTTTCGTTGCTATACATAATCACCTAATTATAGTGGTGAGTTGCAAACATAAAGCCCGGGCTAATAAATGTATCCCCGATTTTTCAAATGTTACGGAGTTCTTGTGATAACTCAAAATATGTCCTGGAGTTCTTATGATAACTTTTATTATTTATAATAAACTGTCAGTTACTGCCAGTGTGTTTCTTGAGCTTAATACGGCACGTTTAAGCGTATTTTTTGTCAGTAAGTGTGTAAATCATTATGAAGCATAGTACGCTTATCATTTGCACAAAAATTTGGTTATATAACGTTGGTTTTAATCGTGTTTTAGTTCCTAATTAAATTTATGCGAAATCATATTGACATTATAAAACCCAACGAATGCACTAAATGTTTCTGTGTATACTGTTCGTCAACAAAAGTTTTATGTCATAAGTTTCCGCAAAATGCAACACTGAGGCCATGTGGCAAAATTAAAACACGATCATTCAATATATCTTGAGAAGACATGAAATTGCTTTGGTGTACAGTCTACATAGGATAAAGAGATGCTAAGCTATCTTCAGGAACGGCCGCCTCCGTGGTCGAGGGGTTTGAGTCGATGACTTCTAATCCAGTTACCTCTTTGGCGTGGGTTCGTTGGGTTTGAGTCGATTACTTCTAATCCAGTTACCTCTCTGGCGTGAGTTCGATCCCCGGGAACACATAGGTACCCTCAAAGCACGACATATGCTTTTATTTGCGTTAATCGTTAAGTATGTATGTAATATTTCTTACTTTTATGTAAATATTACATACTTAGCGATTAACACATAAAAGTATATGTCGTGCTTTGAGGGTACCTATGTGTTAAAAAATGAGAGGGTACCTGTGCTATGAAAATTCAAATGAAGAGAGGTAGCCCTTGCCGCTGCAAAACCGAAAGTAGGTTGTTTTTTATGAATTTTTCATTTATTTTTGACAATATACTGCCATTTGTCCGAAGATGATATGTATATGAACATAGTAAATATGTGTGATGCATATATAATCAAGCCATAGGTTCATTTCAGCCCGAAAAATATGTCGAGGTGATGGGCGATGCAAGACATGTCGATTTTTTGTAGCTTGTACACGAAAAACGTGCACATGACAAATCAGCACATAAATAAAACATTCTAGTGTTCCGTGGTATACATCTTTTCTACGTGTCATACCTCCTTTCCTTATTACAATGAAATTTTACTGGATTGTTATCCATCGCTGGTTTGGTTTTAGCAGAGAATGACCTGTGCATGTTCGAAGAGGGTACCGTTTGAGCAGATTTCGCAAAGAGGGTACCGATATGGATATGTACCGTGTAGTTGGGCTTCCATCAAGAAGCGGCTAAGTAAATTGTATCATTATATACCATGTATCGTATATAACCTGGATATCCTTCACACCCATGCACCCGAAATGTATGATCTTTTTATGCATAAAAATCAACCGATTACTACCGATCTCTTCGACAGATTTGCACGTGCCCTACGGGTTCAAGCGAAAGAAGTTCGACAATATTTTTTTGTAATCAATTACAGCAAAAGTTGTTGCAAACTTTCCACTAGGACTCCAACTTTGATAAGAAAAATGTATGCAGTAATTTTCCGAAATATGGAAATTGCTGTACGTCACGTGATGCTACATTGGATTTAATAGAGTCTATAAACGGCATGAACCTTACGGTGACTCACATATCTTATTGAAGACTTACTTTCTATCGTCATATCATTGTCATAGAACTTTATACGTTTCTATGACAAAAACTGATACCTTTTAAAAATTGAAATACCCGTTGAAACATAAAGACGACACCCACCTCATTAAATTTAGATAAAGGTAGTGCATACTACCTCCTATTTTGCTGAAAACCATTTACATGCATACCGATAGCATAGTTACTTAATGTTCTCTAAAACTGCCAGGAATAATGTATATATGACGAAATCATGATTCAAGGTGTATTTTTATCCTGTAAGTAAATGCTCTACATCAAGTATGTTTACAGTCATTCCAATAAAATATAAAAAAAAAAAAACACACACACACACACAAAGACCAAAACAAACACAAAAAACACAAGAAACGGAGGTAAGAAAAATATCTCTTGAACTGAAAATCACGATCAAAACCAACGTTATATAACCAAATTTTTGTGCAAATGATAAGCGTACTATGCTTCATAATGATTTACACACTTATTGTCTAATAAAATACGCTTAAACGCGCCGTGATTAAGCACAATAACACACTGGCAGTAACAAAAGTTATCATAAGAACTCCAGGACATATTTTGAGTTATCGCAAGAACTCCGTAACATTTGAAAAATCGGGTATAAATTTACTAGCCAGGGCTTTATGTTTGCAACTCTCCATAATAATTAGGTAATTAAGTATAGCAACGAAGAAGATCACAAATGAAAACGTCAATATGTACGAATTAGCAAGTAATTTGGTAATTTTTCTCAAAACTTGCAGATTTTTTTTTTAAAAAGGCGACAAAATATGGACTAAAAGATTTTTCTGAAACAGAATACAATATGTAGGGCAAGCTTAATTATCAAAGTTTAATTTAGCACCCCAAACTCCCCATTTAAAGTTAAAAATAACCATTTTTTAGGCGAGTTCTCCAAGTATATAGAAAAGTTTTCCACAGAAATCCGTAACGTTTTCCAGGAACTCCGTGACAGTTATCATAAGAACTCCAAACAAGTTATCATAAGAACTCCATCCTTCGTGTAACACTTCCTCCCCCGTGTGTTTAACCACTGATGACTAGCTATCAAACACC